CACTGAAAAGAAGCGACATGTTCTTCCAGCCTGGTAGATCATCAAAATCCTGTTTTGCACATTAACCGCTAATTCTCCTTGTGGAATGCAAAGAGAAACAGAAAACTCACAAAGACCAATTAGGAATCCATGGGAACCAAACGATGTGCTCATTCAGGATTGCACTTACTGTGCAAAGTAATTCATGGCCATGCAGAGACACTACTCACTGTGAATGAAAAGTTCACAGTCACAAAACAGTCTTCAAATGTGCTCTGAGACAGATTGTGAATTCCCTCCTTTACCATCTCAGCTGGTTAAAACACAGGATAATCAGCTACGTAGAAACAATGTTCTGGTGTCAGGAAAAGAAAGCCTCAGTACCACCGATTCCCGTGGAAAATATGGAAGTTAAATCAAAACTCCCTCCAAGACATATCCTTATTTCCATCTGTAGGAAAAGTCATGCAGGAAAAGATCCAGTCAGGAGAAGTCATGGACTCCAATGTCAGTATCTTCTGGAAGCTGCTGTACAGAGTCAGGAAGATTAGATGCCCTAAGCTGCAATCCTAGCACATTTCTTGATTCTTTGCTGCTTTGATAAATCATTTATTAGATCAGCCTTTTTACATAATCCTGGAGAGGAGAGGAGAGGAGAGGAGAGGAGAGGAGAGGAGAGGAGAGGAGAGGAGAGGAGAGGAGAGGAGAGGAGAGGAGAGGAGAGGAGAGGAGAGGAGAGGAGAGGAGAGGAGAGGAGAGGAGAGGAGAGGAGAGGAGAGGAGAGGAGAGGAGAGGAGAGGAGAGGAGAGGAGAGGAGAGGAGAGGAGAGGAGAGGAGAGGAGAGGAGAGGAGAGGAGAGGAGAGGAGAGGAGAGGAGAGGAGAGGAGAGGAGAGGAGAGGGGGAGGAGAGGATTTATCACAAAATCCTGTCCTCCTACCAACCATCTTCGAGCAGGACATATATTTCTCTGATTATTAATTATCTAATGCACAGAAACAGCTTCAATTTTTTAACCTCTCTCTTTCTCTTTTGTCCTTTAAGAGTGTAGATGACAATGCAGGGGCGGTGCCCAAAACACAGATAGCTTCTTCAGCAAAGAAAGTGCCAGCATCGTGTTTTGACCCTAAATCTAAAATTCAGAAAGCAAGCACCTTATCTATTTTGTTCTTAGTCTTACGTGTTTAAATCCAGCACATATCAGAAGAGAAACAAAGCTGGGTAAGGTGTCAACAGTTCAATTAACAGAAGACTGTCATATAATCTATCAGTAGATATTTGACCTGAAAAGAGAAAGGAATATGATATTGTTAGCATGGCTTGTCTATCTGCCTACCCCTTTATCATTGTGAAATCTCAGCTCTCAGAATAAACTATAGCTTTTCTCCGTTTTGAAGTCCATCCAAATGTCTTCAACAAAATGAATATCACTGCATGTAAATAACGGAAATAGGAAGAGCTGAAAACATCAACAACAGGACATACTCAGACCCTGAAAACTGAAACAGTCAAATTCAAATGACAATAGAGGTATTAACTGCCTTGTCCCTAGGAAGTGCTTATATTAAAAATGCACAGTTAAAAGCATTTGCCCTCCTTTTCCACCCAATATAGCCCCTCCATCCCCAGCAACTAGACAGTAGAGATCTTCATATTACAGCAGTGGATATCAGACAACTAAGGATAATAAAATAACTAATCCAGTCCAGATCTGTAGGCAACTGATATACCAACAGAGTCAAAGTACAACTCCCAGCTTCATTATCTGGTCTAAATGAAATATAGTGAGCAAATGCACTTCTGATCTCTCTTATTAGTCCCATTTGTTAAAATGCTGTATTATTTACAGCTTTGCACAGTCTGAGAAAATGGCCTTAGAATTCCATCTTAAAACTGAAGTGATGATAAAAACCAGAGTGGCTTTGTGAGCTTATCTAAAGGCAGAGTTCTTGCAGACGTATAAGCATCCCAGCACCAGGGCTTATTACCCAATTAAAGGTCTGTCTTAGCAAAAGTAGACAAATGGTAGACCTCCAACACATTTGACAATATTTCTGGTGGGGTTTTTAAGCATTAGGATTTTGATTCAATAATTAATATTACTTTGAGGAGTAACCCATATAGGCATTAGCCAGTTAACCCAGTCCTACCTGAAGATGTCAGTTCCAACTGCTGAATCAGGTAAACACCAAGTGAAACCTCAGTTTAACTTGAGTATTCATCTTCACTGCAGTCGGTGCTGGTCCCCACTACACAGCCACTGGGACTTATAGCACAGTTAGATGTGTCCCACCAAAAAAATAAATTGCACTCTACGCTCCACTGACCATATTGGCTAAATCTTCATTGATTATTTTAGGATCCCAAGGTGACTTGCTCATAAATGGATGTATGTGTGGACACACTCTGAATGTACATGTTTAACCAATAGAAGTACATTGCAAGAGGACCAGTTACAAGAGTAGAAATCAGAGTTCACATGGAAGCTAGGCCTCTCCAAAGACATGACATGAACAGTTATGCAGCTGCAGACAACTCAGCTTTCGTATTTGGTAGCTGTGTCTATAACAGTAAATGCACCTGGCTACTTTGTCTAGCACTGGGTCCAGCTGGCATAGAATGATCCACACCCAAACAATTAAATCCTGATACTTTCCAAAATATCGTGGCAACATCCAAGCTAAGTACTGAAAACAGTTTCTGTGCTGTGTTAATACTCACACTCTGTCCAGAAATTGGAGTTAGGCAAAAGCCAAGACTGTGTCAAGAGTCTTTCTAAAAATTCAGTGGTATAGGTAATTGAGCTTCACTTTCTCTGAACTTCCCTGGCACAGTTTTGGTTTACTGTTAGAGATATAACTTATGAGTCTCAGACAGGAGTATTAGCAGTCTATAGGTTATTTTAAAAAGAATGGTTTTTTTCTATAGCTATATTCAAAGATGTGAGTTATCCAGATAGCACATTTCAAGTTGAAGATGAAGGAAAGCATTTGCAAGGATCTTTCATAAGTATCTGAAGATAAGTTCACTCAGGTGAAAATAGGAGGTGCTCATTTTCTTTCTTCTTGCCGAGATCAAATCACAGAGCATTGTTGACTGATAGATTATTCAACTAGTCAGATGCAAATTGGGAACATTACCAGCCACCTTACTGGCTAAGATGTGATTGCAAATACAGATCCAGTGCCATTTAACAACACTACAGCTCATTGCTCACTATAACTCTAGTTTTCTGTCTAGAGACTGAAGACTGCTGTGAGGGTTGAGCAACACTTCTGCTCACATCTTCAGAGCTGCAGTGTTGGTACTGCGTCACCCAGGTAGCTGGTAGGATAACTGCACAGAGAACCAATTAGTTGGAGCTTTGCTTCAAGAGAGGAGGACAGGGAGGGATGGCTATTTGTTTCATTGGTCTCCCTCTTAAAACCACTTTTGCCACACTTAATAATACAGTTGTCTCACTATGAAGCTGAGATTGTAGGTTTTATGATCTCTCATAAAGCTATATTATTATCCAAAGGCAGGAATACAGCTTTAATGCAAGAGTGAGAAGATGTGTTTCTGCATATGTGTGTATTCTTGTGTATGCGTGTTTTTTTTCAAACATGAGCCACCCTGTGTCATTTGTGAGGCTTGCTTTCAAGGAGGAACTAGACCAAAGAGGAGGTGTTGCTAAATGCAAACACAGAACAGCCCAAGGCTGTAAACCATGTCCAGTGCTGTTGTCAGGAGCAGGTGTATACCTGGCAGCAAATGCTCAGCGTTAGCTTTTTGAGAGGCTCTAAAGCTGTCTCTTCATTTAAGCCTGTCTACTGAGAGACACTGGGTTCCTGGGGCTGATTTGTGCTGCCAGAGCATTGCAGGGGTGGGAAAACAGATGGCTTTGTCTGGAGTGCAGGCTTGTCCAGGCTAGACTTACCTAGGGTTTTTGCTCAGAAATGTTCCTGGCACATACGGATATTTCTGGCAAAGGTAGCAGAAGCAATCCTTATACAAAGTGATGGCTCCCTGCCTCATCAGTATCTCAGTCTCATGGTCACTTCAGCAAAAATCATGTACAGGATGGGCATATGAGGTCTCCTCCTGGGGCTAAATTAAGGAGAAAAGTCACATTAAAAACTTTCCCCAAAGCTGAATGAGTTTGGTTGCACCTAGTTTTGATTATGACCTGTCTTGCCTCTTCTTAGTTTCAGATAGCAAGTCTTCCACTGAGACAAAGGATGGCATGTTGGGTGGACTATAGGTACAAAATTCAATCACTGTGGGTGTTTCTATTTCTAGACGCACTCCACAACTGATTGAATGATATGCTGACAAGGTATGAAACTACCTATAGAAACCATCTTAGGAAAGCACCAGCGTTCATCTTTCTCAGTGGCAGTGTCAACATAAAGTAAAGGTCTGCAGTAACTGCCAGTTAATAAAGCTCCTCACATTGCTTAAGTGGCCAACAATCAAACTATTCATGCCAATGAATACCATAATGGAGAGCTTATTAAATTCACATTTTGCTTATATTGCCATAATAAGAAGGTAGCGGTAGGTGCATCAGGTTCGCTTCATTCTGAAAATTAGAAGGCAAGGGAGAAGTTATGTTGGTATGTGATGGAGAAAGTGATGTACTCTGGTCACTACAGAAGAAAAAAGAACAAATGCCTTGAGCCATGCACTGCATCTGCTGACACCCAGCTCTAGGGTAACCCAGATCTTGTCTGTGCTTGATACTGTGACACCAGCATCTGAACCTCCATGCTTCACGTAGTCTCATGTCTGAATTAGCACTCAGACCAGGCACTGAGTCCTGGGACACTGACCTGTAACAACCCCTCCTACCCTCCGTCCCCTACTGGCAACCATCCTCTCCTTACTTTCCTGCCCACCCACATACTCTCCTACCTGCTCACTCCCTCCTTCCCACCACCCTTGAGCCCTTCCCCATGTTCATTCTCAGTGGTCGTTGCATGTACGTGCCTTGGCCCCCTTCAGCATGTTAAACCTTCTGCCTTACCTCATGTTTTGACAGGTTTTGTGAGTTTTGACAATCCTGCCAGTGCCCAAGCTGCCATCCAAGCTATGAATGGCTTCCAGATTGGCATGAAGAGGCTGAAGGTGCAGCTGAAGAGGCCAAAGGATGCTAATCGTCCCTACTGAGAAGTTATGGGAACCACTGGATATAAAGCACTAGCACAGGTAACTGCATGGGGAAGGGGATGTCAGCTGTGGTTGTAGCCTCTCTTTGTGTTGTAGACCCTCAAAAAGATTCAGCTCTTCAACTCTCTGGCTTCTGCCTTTTCCACTCAGGCCTCTGGCTAGAGCCACACCACATAGACACACACCTGCACATAAACGAGGAACTGTTTGTGCCTCATTAGAATGAGAGGTTGAAGGATGCTTAAACAAGGGCTCCCCTAGTGGCATCCTGCATGTCTAGGAAGTCTTCCTGGTTGCTAGAGGGGAGGCAGCAGTTATCCGGATTCCTCTTGCTCAGCCAAAGACAGCATTTCTTGCTGAAGAAAATCTGCAATTAAGCAATGGGACTGGGTTGCAGTGTAATCCCAGGTGACTGGACTGGCACAGTGTCTGTCTCAATATCTCTGTGTTGCAAATGTTTCAAAGCATTCTTCATTCTTCATGCAGTGTAGTCTGTATCCAATTTCATTCCAGCATAATAACTATATGTTAATATGTCTTCCTGACAATTAAATAACCCCTAATTTCTTTGTTCCCAAGAAATGAATAGAAAGATCCATGCTCATCTCTGTTAAATTTAATGTACAGATGAAGCCCTATCAAAGCCAAGGAGGTTTTGCTTGAGTGAGGACCTAGACAAATCTGATTGAGGGTCTCATTGTTACACTCACGCACTTTGTGCTTTTGGGAAAGGAGACAGCTAATATATGTAAGTGTCAAAAAAGTAGAAGCTTGTTTCATTGGAATCCAATCTATCAGCAATAACAAAAATGGGGATGTTTTCAAAAATGGAAATGTTTTCCACCACTAGCTGGCTTTTCCACCAGATAATTCTTAGAGAAATATGAATATAGAAGAGTACATGTTTCTTACAGAGGTGGGAAGTCTCTGCTATTAAAGCCATTCCACACCAGATTGCCCTATAAAGCTAGCACTTTCAGTGCCCCTAAGCTGCAACAAGCAGTTTACATTCTCAAATTAGTAACAGTGAGATGGGTTAGGTGACCTTTCCAGGCCATTATGTCCATAACATCTCAGATTCAGTGATTTTGATTCAGGCTTTTTTTGACCCACCGAAGGTTCGGGTAGAAAAGTCCCTAACTTCAACAGTCTTAAAGAACTACAAAATGATCACAAATGATTTTTCACTGATATCTCTAAAATGTTTGAAAATACTTCGTTCTGGTCTTCAGAGCAGTATCTTTCCTACCTAGAAATAAGAAATGGAATCAGAAAGTCTTTGAAAGAGGTGCTGCACTAAAGACAACATGAAGCAGATGAAAATGTGCAACAAACGTATTAGGTGTATGGACTAATTTCACAGGGATTTTTAGTATCTCTATGACAATAGTGACTCAAGATACAACCTCCATAGTTCAGAAACTCCTTTATATGTGACTATACCAAGTCATGCATTCAATGCATTTTCCCTCTTCAAATATCTCTTTTATTTTACTTGCTTATGGCAAGGCCTCTTGGAAGCTTGAAACCAAAATATGTTTTCATATCAAAATGCTTTTTGCTTCATCACAATGGCTTTTTTAATGCACGGAAGTGTTGGGGGAGATGCATGCTTGCTGTTTTGCTAAAGCAGGGATTGTCTTTGTTTGGGAGATTTTCGGTAACACCTGCAAATAAATATCTCCACAGTTGTGTGGCTCCAAGCAGTGGCTTTTGTTGTAGGGCAGCTGTGATCACTGAGGATATGCTTGTTTCTCCTGATTATGTGAGAAAGTGCAGGGTGTAGACTCCACAGGTATGACTCTATTGTGTTTTCCTCATCAGGGATAATTACAGGTTCTCTAGGTCTAGCTTTTCATGACAAGGCTGACTTCGAGGTCTTAGCTTCCTTCCAAAAAATAGCACAACGCAGTAGTAGGACTAGAATTCTGGTGGTGGTTGTGGCTTTTCCCTAATAATTTATGTGTCAAGGAACCATCAAGTAAAATGGCAATGAAATTTCAAATCTTTCTCCTAAAGCATGTTTTTCTTTGCTTCTGCAAAGCACAAGAACAGTTTTGAATGTCTTTTTCTGCTTACAAAGTCCTTTAACTTTCCAAGCTTTTACTTAGATTTCACTGCTCTGCTTGCCAGCAGTATCACCAGATCAGTGCCTCTGCCGCTCTTAGAAGCAGAGTCCCTACCATAACTTAGTAGATGCAGTTCAAAGGTCCTTATTCTCACATAGACTCCCATCTTGAGGAACCCATTGAATGAGCTGAATGTATACCTATCTTTTAGCAGAAAGGAGTTATCCTGAAGAAAGCTTTGTGTATGTTTGTTTGGGAGTTTATTTTGCACCTCACAAAAGAGATTAGTCATGTGTACGTGGCCTCAGGTGGGCACATAAGGAATGTATCCCAAGAAAGGATCTGATTTAGCATAGAAACTACCATATTGAAGGAGACTGAAGAGGACACTTAGTGACTGGAAAGGCTTAGATCCAGATCGCTCTTCAGCTCATTTGATTTCCAGTGCTATGAGATCTCCATACCAGCACTCTAAGCAAATACAGAATCTTTGGTCATGGTGGCCCAGTACAGCAGTTTGCAGGCAGGCCTCAGGGCTAAACCCTCACTAATTAGCTGTACTTAGAGAAGGGTCAGTTGTCTTTGACTCAGTATTACAGAATCACAGAATCACAGAAACACCAAGGTTGGAAAAGACCTACGAGATATCCAGTCCAACCATCCACCCATCACCAATAGTTCTCACTAAACCATGTCCCTCAACACCAAATCCAAACTTTCCTTGAACTCCTCCAGGGTCGGTGACTCCACCAGCTCTCTGGGCAGCCCCAGTGCCTGACCACTCTTCCAAAAAAGTAGTATTTCTATTGTGTTAGTGTACCTCCATGCCTGGTTTGATGTGCAAACTCCAGCCACCAAAATGCTATTGGCAGTCAATTATTTGTCTGTTCAGTAGACTGACAATGCAGCAATAAGTTTCCTAAAACCACCAGCATAGAAGTCAGCTAGGTCTGAATGTCCACAGCACAGATAGTTATTGCAAAGCATGAGAGCAAGCAGCTCCCTTAACTCCCTTAAATACAGTAACTGGTTTTTGGTTTTTTTTTGCTTTGGTCATGGCTCTTCAGGGTCCTTAGTTCCAATTTGAAGCATATGAATAACCATATGGACATTGGGGCAGTTACTCACGTACTTCAAGTATGTGCTCAAGAAACTTTCTAATTGGGATTTTTCTAAGAAAGATCTTTCTTTTATCAAACTCCCTTCCAAAAATAAGAAGCTGCCAACAAAATAAAACAAAAGCGAACACCCAGCTTGATGTAATCCACTAGAGTGTTTTTTCTCAACCAAGAAGGAAAGATCTTCACTCTATTTTAATTCTGAATTCACTTTTTCTTTAACTGATAAATCTCCCGTTTGGGGCACAATTAGCCTAGCCCACAGTGATTGGAAGTCCCTTATTTTCCTTGCAAAGGAAGTTGCTGTCACACAGTGAAAGTATTTCTGTGATGTGGCAAGTAAGTCCATAAGCTGCAGAAAGAAAAGCTCTGAAGAATTCAGAAGTCAAAATATTTTCAAAATGGCTGCCTCTGTTCTCTTTTTCCTTCATAATTAAAGAAGTGGTTATAGCAGCAAAAAGAAAGAAAGGAAGGAAGGAAGGAAGGAAGGAAGGAAGGAAGGAAGGAAGGAAGGAAGGAAGGAAGGAAGGAAGGAAGGAAGGAAAAGGAAGAGGAAAAAGAAAAAGAAAAAGAAAAAGAAAAAGAAAAAGAAAAAGAAAAAGAAAAAGAAAAAGAAAAAGAAAAAGAAAAAGAAAAAGAAAAAGAAAAAGAAAAAGAAAGAAAAAAAAGAAGAAGAAAAAGAAAAAGAAAAGAGAAAAAGAAAGAAAAATAAAAAAATAACAGGGTTGGGAGAATAGAAAGAAAAATAAAGAGGAGGATCATTTGAGGCAACTCTGCCAAAATCAATATATTCTATTACAAATCCCCCCTTAGCACTAGAAAGCAAAGATTCAAAGGCACTTCATATGTCTTTCAGATAGTAAATGCATGAAATAATGAAGAAAAAAAGTACTGAAATCCACGGCTCACTTGGGTGGCCATTCCTAGGAGCTTTTAAGTACACTGCAGTATAACTAAATTGCTCATGCACAGAAGAGCAGTGAAAATTCTGTCCATATTCCTCCTGTGCCTCCATTTCATAGAATCTTATCAACTGCTTGGGTTGGAAGGAACCTCAAGGATTAACAGGTTCCAAGCCCCTGCCACAAGCAGGGCTGCCAACCACTATATCAAATACCAGATCAGGCTGCCCAGGACCCCATTCAACCTAGCCTTTAACACCTCCAGGGACAGGGTATCTCCAGCCTCTCTAGGCAGCCCATTCCAGCACCTCACTACCCTCTCATTTCAGTGACCAGTCATTGGAAAACTGTTATTTTCCACCTCAGATACACTACTATTGAAGTTTTATTCAAAGCTAAAGATGGAGAGATGTGTCTAAATTGAAGTACTGACTGGCATGAAAGTGAGTGGGACAAAATACATGTGAGTGACACAGAGTGAGTGGGGTGGAAGTGATACTGAAGATAGGAAAAAAATAGCAGTACGATTTTTTATAAGCTCCTCTCCTAAGAGGAGTAGTGGCAAAGCATTAAGAGAATGCATTGTCCAAGTAACCTCCTTCTTTAAGAAAAAATAACACGGAGCAAAGTTTGAATACACAAGAAAGTATGTCCAGGTCTTCCCTACAGCTTCCTGATCATGTGCTGATATGTGATTTAATGTAGAATGAGTGAGGTGCTTGTTTTCACAGCTGGCTGGAATAGGTGATGATTTTTTTCCCATAGGAATTTATATTTTTTTTCCATTGGAATGTATATGTTACCAAAGAAAGGCAGAAAGCTTTGCATTTTGAACTTTCTGTTCTTTGATAAGAAGAAAACAAACAAAAACAAATTTCAGAATAAGCAGATATTATCAGACAAAACAATCAAACAAACAAGCAAAATTCCGATCACTCACGACAAGAAAA